CAGGGGGAGTGGGAGAGGGAGAAGCAGGCTTCCCACAGAGCAGGGAGCCTGATGTGGGGCTCCATCCCAGGACCCTGGGATCATGACCTGAGCCAAAGGCAGATGCTTAACGACTGAGCCACCCAGGCGCCCCCATAGGCATTGTTCTGAGTTAAAATTTCTTTAAATGTTTTGAGGAAGCTGCTACCAGTGGCAAATGCTACAAAAGGTCAAGTGAGAAAGAGCTAGAGTTGGCCTGTAAGGTCATAGGAGACCATGGAGAGGACCCTCCCAGTAGAATATTGGAATGAAACCAGAATGCAGTGGTGGGCTGGGGAATGGATGGGAAATGAAGACCAGGAGAGGACAATTATACCCGTCAGAACTCTAAGGAGAGGAGAAAAGTTGCCAACGAGAGGGATTAAAAGCAAAGGGAAGGCGGCTGTTGCTATTTTTATTTACATAGAAAAACTTGAGCAGGTTTTTAATTTGATCGAGGTAAAGAAGTGATGACAGGTGATGAAATCCACACTCAGGGTGAGGAATCAGCCTGTCAGAAGAAGAGATATGTACTCTTTGGAACTAAGAAGAAACGAGGTAGGGGCACTGGGATGAGGAGGAGAGAGCTGCCGAGATGCAGCTACCAGCAGCGTCATGGAGAACTTCTGCTCCCTAACGAAGTGCATTTGACTATTCTCAGTCCATTGCAAGTTCATCTGGAAAACAACCAGGTGCGAGAACTTTGGAAACATAAAATTAGCTGAGATTAGAGTTGCTGATCATGCCATCCAAATCTGAGTGACCAATGTTAAAATATAAGTGCTAAAATCAGTATTCTAAATTTTGGGATAACATCAACTGCATTCTCTGCATGATGAATTAAGATCACTACAATCAGCATCATAACTCTAGAACTACTTTTTTTTTTAACCTGCATTCTGTCTCTCTTTCAAATTAATCTAATTAATACGGTACATTGCTATTTGGCTGCTAAGTATTACAAACAGAAATCTATGTTTGTGACAAACTTTAGAAATGTACTTTGAATAACTGAGTAGTTATTTTTCAAATGGACACACAAATTAGCAGATACATGGGTTGACGTTATTTTACACTGTGGATGCCCTAGCAAAATTTATCCATTTTTGTTTTTTGCTTGTTTTATTTCTGTTAATGACCTTCCATCCGAAGTAGTTCTTCCTCTGGGCATGTATGCTGCTAAAACAGTGTTGTGTTACTGCATGCCAGGCTTGCCCTAAGTAACCTGAAGCCTGTGGACAGATTTTAATAAAATGAAGACATGATTTTTTCTTCCAAAGGTTTTATTTTAAGATATAACTAAAGCCATAATTTTGAGACTGTAAAAATAAGTAATCTCATTAAAAACAAAACAACAATTCAGGGTGACAAGTCCTGGGAATAAAACTAAATCTGTGGTAACCACAGATACACATGGGTCATTACTAAGGCAGCCCCAACTTAGGAACGGCAGGACATCAGAGAAAGAAGGTAGTAAGTTTAAAGGGAAGCATTTATTGAGCAGCTTCCAATGTGTGTCCTGGATTTCTGGAATATGATACAGTTAGACTCCAGTATAACACTGCTCACATCAGACTGAAGGTTGTTTACAATACCATTGCGATTTCAACAACGGTACCAACTCACTCAACCGTTCAGAGAAATGTAATCAACAGTGATTTATCACTTCACACAAATGTGTTTCTAGCTTATAAACAGGCTACCACTGACCCCCTTTATCTCACACATAACTGAAATAGTGAATTTGTGGTCTTGGTATCACTCTGTATTAAAAATTATAAAGCAGGTTTTCAGAAATAAAACTTTCCATCATCTCATCTACCACTTTGTTGTATTAGTCTACTTAGAATCACTGCCAATCTACCTATTCCTGGCTCTTGGTAAGCCTTACTCGCTGGTCCTACCCTTGTCTTCAGTAGCCTTTTTTAATCACTGCCTATTTATATACCGTGAATGGCGCCTTTGCCGCATCTTTCGGGCTGATATTTCTATGTTTCCCTTATGGTGGTTTCACCCACCTCTAAGTTATGTTCATGCTCTGATTGTTTATTATTCTGATCTGCTCTTTGATCCACACTCTCTCATCTTGACCATATCTTTCTTGAAACCCAGATTTTACCTCTAACGTTAACTTTCTTCTATACTATCCCAGTGAAATTGTTCCATACTTTTTTTTTTTAAAGATTCTACTTATTTGACAGAGAGAGACACAGCGAGAGAGGGAACACAAGCAGGGGGAGTGGGAGAGGGAGAAGCAGGCTTCCCACCGAGCAAGGAGCCCGATGCAGGGCTCGATCCCAGGACCCTGGGATCATGACCTGAGCCGAAGGCAGACGCTTAACGACTGAGCCACCCAGGCGCCCCTCCATACTTTCATGTACTAACTGCTTTGGCTTGTTTCTCTGTAAAGAAAAAAAAAAAAAACAAACTCCCTCTTCAAGAATAACATTGATTTCATTCAAATCTTTGCTTCTAAGCTCTTAGAAACAAGCTCTTAGAAAAAAAACCCAAACTTTTAATTTTCCATTAGGTTCTACTTTCTTAATACCCACTAACTCCTTCTTTATCTTTACCCTAGTTTTTGGCTGCTTAAATTATCCACTATGACAGGCTGTCCTTCTCCTCCAACTTTTCCACTTAAAAATTCTGATTATTGCGGCTCCTGGTTGGCTCAGTCGTTAAGCATCTGCCTTTGGCTCAGGTCATGATCCCAGGGTTCTGGGATTGAGCCCCACATCGGGCT